TTGAATTATAGCTAGTCTTTTATTTTAATTGCAACTGGGACATATCAAGAACTACAGTGTAATCTGCTGAAGTATTATGCCTTTAACCTGAACAAACAGAACTTTAATTAGTTTTACTCTGGGGCACTACCCTATAGTGTCAATCTGATCCAGGGGGAAATGTATACCTGCTAACCCTAAGAGAAGCCAAAACAGGAAGCACACTCCAGAGTCACAGAACATTTCTGTATTTCCTATTGGTCTATACCAGCAGGAATTTACCATCTACTTCTCTTTCTCTGATTCAGCAAATAAGGTGAATCCTGTAGGCAAGACTCTGCCCGACCCTCCTTGACCACCCACTCCAAGAAAGGTTGAAAAGCAAGTGGCTCCACTTTTTCTTATATTCCAGGTCACAAGATCTTTGTAGTCCATTAAGGCCACATCCACATGAATAGGGGCAGGCATTTGTAGTGTGGGTTTGGAGCAGCACAAATAGTGTGCCGCTACATTGTGCTGCAGTGCACGCCCCTGCTCATGCAGTTTGCAGTGGGACACATTCTCCTGCTGCTCCATGTGCTGTGCAGGGCAAGGGGGTTGGCTGGGGCACAGGGTGCCTCAGCATTGGGGTAGCTGGCAGGCAGCCCCCATGCTGAATCACTCTGTGCCCCAGCCAGCTGGGGAGCAGCACATGGAGATGTGCTGCTTGATGTGGCAAGATCATAGTGTGCAACTTCTTTGTGGCACCACAAACTGCACATGTTGCATGTTAAACCATGCCCCGTGCTACTGATTTGCAGCACTGGGGCAAATTTGCTACAGGGATTTCCTGGTAGCAATAAAAATACCATGAGAAAAAAGCAGTACAAAGCACACCAAAGTGCTGTGTGCTGGCACAAATGTGGAGATAGGGGAGTAGGCAGCCCAGCTGGCAGAATAAGGGCACTTATTCTGCCCTGGGCTGCCTGCTCCCCCATCTCTGCATGCTGCAGAGCTCCTGCACTGAGGAACTCTGCACCCCAGCCAGCCACCCCCCGTCTGGCTGAGGTGCAGGGTGCCTCGAGACAGGGGAGCAGGCAGCCCTGGGCTGGGATTCTTAGCTCTTGGCATGGACATGTAACATAAATCACAAACCTGAAGTTAGGTTATCAGGAAAACAAACAAACAAACAAAACAACCACTTCCTTGACTCAGACTTCTGCTATCCTTCTGAGCATCTGGCAGCTTGCCAAAGCTATTCTGATCTCCCAGGTGGGGGTGTATACACCAACATATTCAGTGACTCTCCCAGTCAGACCATACTTGGAACCTTTACACCTTCTGGGCATGGCAGTATTTGCTTTTCTAACAGGTAAGTATTTGCCTTAAAAAAGACATGCTACTATACTGTGTACTATACAAGGCAATATAATAGGCACTGTACCTAATATGGTGCTCAAAGCCATGACTGAGTGAGTGTGAGATCTTGCGTAATCAAACCCCAGCATCATCTGATTTTTGAAGCTGAGTGGAGACCATTTTGAATATTTATCTCCTGATTTATACAGTGAAATAGCAACAAAACATCAAATCTCCTGAAGACAGAAACCTTGCACATGGGAAGGGAGACATGGCAACAGTTGTTCACTCCCATCCTGGCTCTCAAACACTTGAAGAAAGGCTATTCTGTTGAGCCTCCATACCACAAGCGATGGAGACCATGCAACATCATCTCCATAACATCGTAGACCAGGGGTCAGCAACCCCCAGCACGCGTGCTGAGCAGGGCACGCAAGACCATTTTGCTTGGTACACCACTGCCAGCCTGCGCTCTAAGCACC